CATAGTATTACTTGGCTTTTAATGAGCCAATGGCACTTGCAGAAGAGCAAATTGATTCCTCCAGCCAATTGCTTGCTCCTTTTAACCACCCCAGCATGTGGTGCTTGGAAGAGTCTCTTCCAGCCTGTTGCCAGTGCACCACGTTAACAAGGCTTTGGGTTTGTCCCCTGACATCCTGCCTATCTTCTCGTTCATCATAATCTCTTGAAGTGCTGCTTGCTTTCCCCCACCCTCCCATTTTCAGCAGCAGCAAAAGTCTCCCCTGCCTTGGCCTCTACAGTAAAAACAAACAAACAAAACCAAAGTAAGCTGTTGTTTTTCTAAACCAGCTAATTATTTGTGATTAATCTACCAGGTAATTAATTGCTCGGTACCAGCCTGATCCGAATTCCTTTAACCACTCCTGAGCATTTATGTTGCTGGGTGCTTATTTTTTGAATGTGCTCAGCCGTGGGTATTTCTCTTGTGAATTTGATTTGCATCTTGCTCTTTCTGTATAATAAACAATATTATACAGAAACAAACATCTAAACCATGTTTTCGAAACACATTTTCCTTGTAATGGTATTATTTGTCAATCATTCTGGCCAACAGGGCCTTTTATTTAATATATTTTTAAGTTTCAGTTTTATTTTCTTTTATTTTTTGGTTATCAATTATATTCAGAGATCTCTGCCTGCTTTGCATTTGGATGGTCTAATCAGCTGGCAGGGTGAAGCCATGTTAATTGATACATTGATGCAGCCTGGCAAAGCAACAGGGCTCCAGGACATAAAAGCTCTGTTGTCCTGAAGATGCAAAATCTCTGTCACTCAAGTGCCTTAGCACAGGCCAAGCGTGGAAATTTTCAGTGAGGCTTGAAGCAAGACTGCAGACTGACCAGGGTATTTAAGTGTTTATAGGTAGTTCTGTTCTTCTAAATGATAGTGCCATGTCCTTAGCACGCAGGTGTTGACAGGGCCAAAGCCCCAGTCTTATGTCAAACTGCATACTTTTGAATATGATAGCACCTAAAAGCCCCTACTGGAGTGTGGACTCCATGGTACTAGGCACAGAGAAGCACATGGGGACCTGACACTAAGGAGAATCCATGAAGATATGAGTCAGGAAGACAGGAAAGCGGCAGGCAAGCAAAGTGCACAGGTGGTGACAGTCGTGTTTGGGAAGCTGGTGCTGCTTTTGTGTCTTATTTTGTTTCCATCTCCCCACACCTTTTACCTGCTGCTGATCTTTGGGGCAAATGCAACAGGACTGTGTACTGACGATGCATCTGTTTCGGAAACGCGACACAGCTTGTAGCTTACTGCAGCGTTGCTGTAAGTTCCTTGGGGCAGGGAGAGTTGTCTTGTTCTGTATCTGTGCAGATGCCGTCCTGGCCTGGGTCAGGGACCATAGGCTTTAGAGAGTAATGGTACTTCTGTTCTACCAGGTATCCCTTCCTCCCCCCCACCCCCCTGCCCCTGAGTTTCATTCGGAACAAAAAGGGCCGGACTCAGTGGCTGGAGTAGAAGATTTTACTGGCTCAGCTTTTACTCCACTTCACCAGCTTCAGGAAAGTTTTTAAAACTCTGCAGGTGAAATTCACTTCCTCCTTCTCCATGAAGCATTTTGCGTTATGGAGTAAAGCGAAGTCCAATCCCACAAGTTCCAAATAGAGACCAACATGTAACCAATTAAGGACAATGCATTTAACTTAATCTCTTACTGTAAAAGATCACCATGACATTAACTGTAGGGTTAGATTATCCCATACCAGCCTAGTACAGGGTGCGGAAACTTTCTCTTGACTGCTCTTGAATGGATGGTGCTGGACTTCAAATCTGAGCCAGCCTTGCAATCCTTATATAGCTATTTATAAGCCCTTCCTACCAGGGCAAAATCATACTTGTGTAGGGCAAAATCATACCAGTTGTAAAAACTGTACTGAACCCCAAGGGCCAGGAGGAAGCATGGTTAATGGTGATTATGCACTTTGAGACCTACAGGTAAAAGGAGTTGTAGTGCAGAGTTGTGTTATTACAGATCCTTAAACAGATTCTCAGTTATGAGCCATGAGATCTTTTTAAGGGTGCCAAGCAATATTAGCAGTTAGGCATGCAAACACCTACCTACACATGATTCACAAGATAAACCCAGAGGTTTCAAATAGGAATTAAAGTAAAACATATATGTTTTACTCTGTGTGTGTGTGTGTGTGTGTGTGTGTGTGTGTATGTATGTGTGTACACACAGCTTGTAAAAAGTTTATGCATGTTTGAAATTAACCTTAAATATATTGTTTTAGTTTGCACACACGTGTGTGTGTGTCAAATTATATATGTATGTGTGTGTATGTATGTGTGTATGTGTCAAATTATATATATGTGTGTGTGTGTGTAGTGGCAAAAATATTCTGACCTGTTGGGTCTTTGAGTTCTTTTGCATTGGAACTGCTCTATTATTTTGCAATAGTAAAAAAGAAAAAGAAAAAAAGAAAGTTAAGAGCTGGCATTTTCCAGCTGGTTAGGTGCCTTGTATCTCAAAGTTTGAGAACCACTGGCTTAAAGGCAGACGGCAACCCAGGTCAACCTAGCATGAGAGGGGACTATTAGAGTGGGAGAATAGGATTTAGAGTTGCAGATTTTAAAAGCATCTGGGAGGTTTGTGAGTAATTGTGCCATTTAAATTCCCCTCACTTAGACTCTGCAGTGCTCTAAAAATGAATGTACTGAAGGAGCCACCACAGTAGCTGGCCAGCTAATGTATTTCAGTCAGTTACAGGAAAAAGTTATGGGCATCTTTAAGTAGACTCTGCGCTTCGTCTTCCTCTAGTTGGAGATGTGGTTGGTTGCTTTCTCATCGTGACTGTTAGCTGTAGAGTCCTCAGGCCCCCCATTTCCTGGATGCAGAACTTCCTTTTGTTCCATTTGTCTTGGCCACTTCAGTTAAGAAATCAGGCTGTGGTGACTGAGGAGCTAGATCGCACGCCTTTAGTTTTAGGTGCCTACACTTAAACATTTGGCCCTGAGCTCTTTGGAAAACCTGACCCGGTAGCCCTGTGCTTGTTTTTCCATCTGTAAAACACTGTTTAGCTGCCTTGTTTTTTAATTAAAATGCTCTGAGATCTTGGGAGGGTAAATGCAAAGTACTGTTCTTATGTATTTATCTTCCACCCCTGCAGCCTTGGATGAAATCCAGCTTAATTTTCAAAGTTCGTTTGGCCTCATTCTGGTCTCTAAAGGTGCATTAATTTGCATTGAGAGGATCTGGCATAAGGTGATATGACCTTCAGTTTTTGCATTCTGGTTGTGGTTTTCTCCTTCACCCTAAAAAAAACAAACCAAACCAAACCAACAAAAAACAAAAATCACCCAAGGCATTAATGGCAGGTTAGTATTGGGAGACTTGCAGGGCTGAAATCTTAAATGGTGGAAAACCAATATTTAGGAAATCTAAATGTTGGTTTTCTGTAATGCTAGTTGGCATGTCTTTTGATATGACAATAAGCTGTTCATTTTTAAAACTCCTTTTATATCCTTGCTCAATAACAGGTTGGTTTTGTTCTTTCTCTTTTAAAGGGCTGTTGTCAGGCAACATTTGGTCTAAAACCTAAGATTTCAGTAAAGATTGTTTACACAAATTTGATGCAAGGTTTCAGCTCTAAAGATATTATTCTTTTTTCAGTGATGTCAGTCAGAGCCACTTATTTTGGAGGCAACAGTATTTTAGCATCCGTGCATCCTGTTCGGAGGGGTGTTATGGTAATACGTGAAACGGGGTAATTTGTTTGCTACCTTTGATTTTATTTGTTTTATTCTGTAATGAAAAGGAGTGCGAGTCGGGGAAGAGTAAATTTAGATTCATAGCAGTGCCCTCTGCGCTAATAATCTAAGGTAGCTTTACCAACACAGGAAGCCCTAGGTTTTGGGTTTTTTAAAGTATGGGTTTTTTAGCATGGCATTATTCCATGTTTGTATCATTTTGTGTTGAACCTGAATAGCCTAGACCACTTCTGTTCAAATGCTGACGCTGGTGGAGAATGCTATGTGCTTCCTTTTGTTGCATTTTTCTGATCACCCTGTCTCCTTCTTTAGTCTTAATCCCTACAGCTACGATGAAAACTGCCTCAGCAGTAGTGAAGACCATATCCCACTGGCTGCCTTGCCCTTGCTGGCCATTTCATCCCCTCAGTACCAAGATGCAGTTGCCATGGTGATTAGCAGAGCCAACCAAGTTTACAATGAATTTCTCAAGTCTGAGGATGGGGCTGGTTTTAATGGACAGGTAGGACAATCTCCTGTTGCATCCAAGACAAATGCTTCAGGCAAAGCTGGTTGGCCATAATTCTAGGCCATTCCTGATTTGTGTCAAGTGCATCAAGTCGCTGATGTGGAGATGACACTGAAAATGCAATGATGAAATGTTAGCGTGGAAATAACTGTGTGCAAAACTGCCTGTTAAGTGCCCAGGGCGAGTTAGACGCTTTCTGAAATCAGAGCAGCATCTGTCAGATGTGAACGTAGGTAGTTAATAGAAAATGCTAATACTTTTTCTGCCAGCCAGTCTGATTCCTGAGTGCTTACCGTACTGTCTATCAGCACAGTGCCTAGGAGCTCTGGTTGTGGCCCAGTCTGCAGGTGATGGAGATGGAAAGGTTTCCTGTATTGGGCCATAGGGAATCAGTTGTGCTGATATACTCCCTCTCATCACAGTGACAATAAAACTGCAGCCTGAGACATTATACTGGGTCTTGGGCGAGCAGGGTTCAATTCTCAGTCCTGCCACAGTTGTGATCAGGGGCAAAATCACCTCCTCTGGGCTTGATCCAGATCCCCATGACCTTGATTGAAAAGCTGTCATGGACTTTGTAGCACAGTTGTGTGTGCCAAAGCCCTCTAGCTTCAAAAGGGTAATACCTTCCAGCTTCACTGCGGATAAACTCATTACCCAACGTTAGGTGCTCAGATTTGTTTTGTGTTGTGTCCTTCCAGAGCGCTAAATAGATACAGTTGTCTGAAGTACCGGGATATTTCAGAAAAGATTTTTAATACAAAGATGCAGTGTAATCTTCTGAGGAAAGCATGCGTCTTATTACATAAACAAATAATTTTTTCATAACCATAATAGGATTACACTGTGGCATATTGGAGTCTTTTAAACTAAAATTTGGTTTGTAGCGAGTTTAATATCCATAGTAAACGGTTCTTGCTTGGAGCATAAAAATAACCCAGCCACAATGATGGAACATTATGAAAGGTGAAATTATGCAAAGAAAAATTATGCCAGTTACAGAGATAATTATAAAAACAGATCTTTTTTTCCAGTAGAAATTGAATGTTATGAGGTTTGTTTTTCTTTATGCCAACGCCACAGAAAAGGCCCCCCCCCTTTTTTTTGCAAAGCACATATTAATATTTCATCTGGGAGAGTGTACACGCTCTGCATATTTCCCCACAATCAGGAGAAGAGCTGGTTTTCTTAAAGGGAAAAAGTGACATTTTTACACTTGTTATCATTTTGGAACCAAGAGTTCTGGATTTTTTTGCATTCATTACACTAGTCTTTTAGTGAAAAAATATGACCTAGCAGCACTGGACTGGGAGTCTGGGGCCTTGATGTATTCCAGATGATCCCACTCACCCGCTTTCTGACTTTTTCTCACCTCTGCCTCTCTGCGTTGTTTCCTCTTCCACCATGTCTCTGTCCAACCTATTTACATTGCAAACTGCCCTCAGCAGAGAACTCCCTCTTGCTATGTTGTATACAGCAACCCACACAGTTGGTCTCCGATCTTACTCTGAGCCCCTACACCTCCCTCAAAATGAAAACCGAGACCAACCCGAAACAATGAGAACAAAATTATCATGGGAACTATATGTCCTCTATCCTCCACATATGGAAAAGTGAACTTAGAGATAGGATTGAAAATGTAGCCTGAAATTGTTCAGGTCTTTGCTGCAGACATTCACAGGTTCACGCAGAGCTGGAAGGGCCCTTATGAAACATTAATGGGGATAGTATTTTGAGTCAAAAGTGACTGTATTAAAAGGTGGTTAGTATATTGAATGTCATAGAAGTGAATGCCATTTAAGGCTTTGGGACTGGGAATTGTTATGGAAGTAGAAGTTGCCCTAAAGGAGGACTTGCCTGCATTTTTCAGTTTGCCTTTTGATGACAACTCACTAGAGCAGCCTTGCTGCCACATGTTGGACTACAGTGAGAAATGGAGGTTTTCCTGGCCCCACACTAATGAGTTTCCTTTCCCCAAACATTTCAAACTCCATCCAAAGACTTTGATCTGAATACTAAAGTTGCCTGTACATGTACGGAGTGGCTGCTCCAATGTGCTGTAATTACAGCGTGTGGGAGCAGGCTCGATTTAATCAGCATGCTAATTAAAGTGCTCCAACCATCCTCTGTCTCGTATATTGGTGTCCCCACACTTCAGAATGGCAGTGGCAGCACTTTAAATAAAGCTTGTTTGACAAGCTTTAGTTAAAGCGCCCCCGCCATCATTTTGAAGCATGGGGATGCTGATGCATGAGATGCTGCAGGAGCTTTAATTAGAGTGTCTTGTGGAGCCATGCTAATTAAAGTGCCCTTCCTTTCCCTCCCACTCCTGGAGCATGTGTAAAAACGCCTTACGCCTTTACGTGCCAGGATGACGCATCCTCTCCACTGCGGCCCTCTCTTGCCATTTTTGCTCCTGGGCTTTGACCAATGAACAGCAGCATGTTTTCACTTTTCCAGTGATCTTTTTTTAGCCACCTTTATGCATTTGGGAAGAATTGAAAAGCTCATATGAATCTAAAGGGTATGTTAGATTGTTGGGCCAGATTACCTGGGCTGGATTCTGGCCTAAGTATCCAGGAAGGATTTTTGTCTGATGAAGGGAAATTTTTGCCGGTATGAAGTTGGTGGAAAGAGTCCCTGTGCCAGCAGCCCTTGGCATAAGGAACACATGGGGTGTGGGGGAGAGGAGAGACATGGCAAGGTGACACTATGCCAGTACTCACTGGAACTGGAACCAGTGGGTCCTCAGCACCTGTGGTGTGACTTTTGAGTAGCCGCCGAGCTGCTGTCTCTCTTTCAAGGGGAATGCATTCAGGTGGTCAGGGTCAGGGAGCCATAACTGCTTCCAGGCTGCTATTGCATTTATAGAAATTCTAGCTGGAAAATACCTTTGAGTATGTCCCACGTAACCTCTCATTTCTCTAGGTCTGCCTCATTGGTGACTGCATTGGAGGAATTTTGGGGTTCGATGCCATTTGCTATAGTGCCAGTGCAGCCGGCGAGAGTCAGAACAGTAGCAGGAGAGGGAGCATCAGCAGCATACAGGTAAGAAAAAACCCACAGGTAAATGTCCCGGAGTGTATCTAACCAGATAAAGCAGCTGCTTGCAAGAACAAGTACAAAGGCATGGTGAACTGCATTGCTAGCAAACATTTTGGCTTTTGATTCCAAGTGACAATTCTTTGGTAGAGGACCAGACCATACTTCTGCGTTTCATCATGTTCCCAGGCTTTCCTGCCCCATCTTTGGGGTGGGGGAGAAACAGAGCACTTTTTTGGTATCTAACTGTGGGCTTAAAGCTATATTCTTCCCATAATAAGCCATGGATACAAATAGGTTAAGACTTGGCAAATCCAGCTCTCCTGACTTGTATCATGAGTCTGTAACTCTTTAAAACCAACTCCCAGAAGCTATTTAGTTCTCCCCTGCAAGTGGCCAGTTTATCCCTGAATTGGATGGGACATTTTTTTCTCATGTTTTTACCTTCTTGCCTTTCAATGCCCAATGCCCTGCTCATTTGTTCACAGCTGGACCCAGTGTGCCATCTGCTCAAGGTTTTTGCCCCCAATTTTGCCTCGAAGTTCACATGTCTGCAGGCTATCTGCTGTTAAAATCTGCTGTTTTTAATTCTTTCCCATAGCATCTGGAATTTCTTAATGCTGCTGGAGGCTAATACAGCTTTAAGGCATGTTCAAGAGTCTGTTTTAGTGGCTCATGAGAAGGATTAGACTGAGGAATGCCAGTCACTGGAGGAGTGGGTGCATGAACCATAAAGTGCACCTTGATGCCTCTTGTTGGACCCTGTTCTAATGAAGAATATGAAATCCTGATATTTTTGGAGATGGCAAATCTGCTCAGAAAAGTAGTTTGTGAGAGAAGTAGCAGAATTATCAGGGTGCTTTTAAAGATTAATATTCAAATGGCATAATTGTATGCACATGTAGCAGGGTGGGGGAGGAGGGAAAGGTCTAGGATGAATTCGAATAATCCTTCTAAAATAAATCTACTTAAGCATCAAGGCATGAGGGAATGAAGCCAGGATTCAAAGACCTGGCTGGCTTTGTTACCAGGGGCACGTCCTTTTGTGTTACTTTCTCAATATCTCTAAAATGGAGGTAATGATGCTAAGCACCTTTGTTCAGCATTTTGAGAACCAAGCATGAAGAGTATTAAAGAAGATTAGAATGACATTTTCTTTAAAGGAACCAGACGTTGTCCAAGTACTGGTAAGACAGTATGTAGTCCTATAATGAACCACCATGTTGGTCCCATTTTTCGGATTTCCAGTGTCCAGCCCTTAAGCATCCCAGTATGGGACATATCACAGAAAGCACAGGTCAGGAAATGCAGTCGTGGTTCTGCAGCCAGTTCTGCTTGGGGCTTCACAAAGGCCTGCATCAATGCAGCTGCAGGAGTCTGATCTTAGGAGTGCAAATTGTTGGAGAGGTGTTGTGCACAGCAGCCAGGCTAGGGTCTGAGAAATAAGGTGCTGGTCTGTAGCTTGGCCACCTGAGCTTGCTGGTGAGAGCAGATGGTCTTTTTCACCTGTATTTCGCTTGCAAAACAGGCCGGTCTCAGACCACTGAAAGCAGTGTTGGCAAACTTTGCCAGCTGGCTGACCATTTAACTTCTAGCGTGGTCCAGAAATAAGCTCAGAAGCCATTGTATGTTCTTCATCATCTCTCAAAATCAAGGAAATTGTTCCCAGTGGTATCATTGTCACTTGGCCAACAGCTGTTGCTGATGGTGGTCTGTTGGCCTGGGTAGAATATGAGTTGGTGACCTTCATTCACTACCAAGGATCATGGTATGAAGACAGCTGATATTGAGGGAGGAGCTTGAGAGAGCAGGAGAAATAAGTAAAATAGAATTATTTTATTTGCCAAGTGTAGAGGCATTCACAGAATGAAACTAATTGCACCTGAGGCTGGGAATCCTGTACTGTAAACCAGAACCCAGAGAAGAATTTTATGGTCTAGTTAAGAACTCTAAAAATAGAATAAATTAAGTTTATATAGCTCCCTTCATACACCAGCCATTTCAAATGCTTTATAGTAATAAGTCAGATGGGTAACGCATTGCACGTTATATTCTCTGAATGGCTCACAGCTGTAAGCTCTAGCAACTTTTATTGAGAGAGGGGATGTTAATGTGTTATGGAAATGTAAATAGGGAATTATAATAGAAATAGTGACAAAATTCCCCTGCAGCACCGCTAAAATATACCATCTTCATTTCTCTCTCATCTTTTGAGTCCTAGTGCACACAGAGTAACCCAGAGGAGAATTACAGTATGAATTTTCATCATACACAGAGACAAATTTGTGTTCTCTACTCTTACGTGGATAAGACTTGTGAAAGCACTACTTGAAGAGTTGTTTGCACACTCTGGAAATCTAGAGAAATACAGTAAGTGGCATTCTGCTCTGACTAGGCTAACAATATTAATGCCTACAGAGCAGGGGTGGGCAATTATTGTGGGCAGAGGGCCGCTTACTGAGTTTTGGCAAGCCATCAAGGGCCACATGACAGGCAGCCCAGGGCAGATTAATATTAATTTTCTAAATTTTTTAGGGGCCCTGCGGGCCAGGTAGAATGGCCTGGCAGGCCACATCTGGCCCACCCCTGCTACAGAGTATATAGCAATATGCATCTGGAAGTACTTAATAAAGGAGGTCAGTACTGATTATCCCCATTTTACAGCTAGAGACTAAGAGCACCTTTATACATGCTCTGGAGTAGGGGGAGGATGTTTTAATTAGAGCTGAGCCGCTCAAAATAAAGCGCTGCAGCATTTCATGTATCAGCGTCCCCGTGCCTCAAAACGGCGGTGGAGGTGCTTGAGCTAAAGCTCATTGGACGAGCTTTAATTAAAGCATCCCCGGCACCACTTTGAGGCACAGGGGTGCTGATGCACAAGATGCAGAGGCTGGCTGGAGTGCCGTAATTACCACACTCCAGCCGCCTTGATTAATCAAGTCTGTTCCAACGCACTGTAATTACAGTGCATCGGAGCAGCCTCGCAGCATGTTTGCAGGCACCCTAAATGACCCAGGCCAGTCATAGAGCTGGCCCATAAATCTAGCCCATGTCTCCAAATTCCTGTACAAGTGCCCTGCTCCCTAGGATACATTGCCTCACAGAAGAGAAGAATTATGCTCTTTTTTTGCTGCTGCGGGCAAAAGAGCATTCTGCAGGAGTCGAGGTCTTGTAGAGGCAGACATTTGTTTGATGGGGCTATTGGAGATGGCTAAGGGTTTGATTCTTACAAGGATGAAGAGGCAGACAAGCTGTTTGTAGGTGGCTAGCTGCACTTCCGTTGAACTGATCGTTTGAGTGATGCCGAGATTCAGTTGAATTGTTAATGGCCTCTTATGGTGGCCGCAGCTTGGGCCAGTGGGTTTTTGAATCTTTTAAATGGGAATAAATAATATCGTCAGGAGTCTCAATGGCTTTCTTCTAATATGAGATGTTTTCTGATTTTCTTTTTCTAGCCATTGTTTTATTTATTTCTCAGTGCTGCTTCCAGGTACTGTTAAAGTAACTGTGACCAAATTGGCCTAGTGTTCCTGTGCAGTGTACCAGAGACAGCTGACCCTGAATGTGACTCTAGGTGTTTAAACCAATGAGATTTAAACTTCAGCAGTGCTTTTTGACTCATCTTTGAAAGCACAGGTTGGCCATGTGGCACTTGGGACAGATGTGACCTCCTGAGGTCCCTCCCAGCCCTATTTTTCTATGATTCTATGAACCACATCACCTTTATCTTAGTTTTATTGTGTGTAACCATTTTTGCACAACGTATAGGGTTTCTCAAGCATCAGCGAATGTTATGTGCTTCCACTGGCAGTGGTTCTGCACAAATTGATAGTGATACTGCCGCAAAAGTGACCAGAGAAATCGTTGTTTCACAGGACTGGATGGCTTAGGTGGATCAATTACTAGGTAATTGATCCTTTCACCCTCTGGCTGCTGGTGAACGCCTGGCCTAGGTCAATTGTGACTGAAAGCCTTTCCCATCTAATGGCTGCTTGCTCTCATTTGTGAACTGAAATTTCGTCTCAGCTTTGTTGCTGGGGCATTGGCTGGACAAAGACCCGTCATTGGCACTTAATGGTCCCTCTCCCCCCCTTAGGAGGACCACCCATCCTGGGTGGGGAAGTCCCAGCATGGGAACTTAGTCCCGGTCCTGGGCTGCATGACTCCAGGACATTTGTCTTGGACTCGTGAGGATATGCGGGAAGTGGCGGGTTTCCCCTTGCAGTATGGGGCAGGGGCACATGTCCCCCCCCAGCTTTGTGTGTGGGGTGAGGACAGATGCAGGCTGCCCACTGTGAGCTCGGGGGTCCCCACCCTGCTGCTCTGCCCCAGGGCCCTGCGCTGGCTGCACTGCCATGGCAGGCACCTCCTGCCCACCTGGCAGCAGCGGGGGCAGCGGTGGTGCAGAGTTGTACCCCCTGCTGCCACCAAGTGGGCAGGGAGTGCACATCCTGTGTGGGGCTCCCAGGGAAAGGCACCGGAGCAGGGTGCTCTGATCCTGTGCCCAGCAGCCCGCATCCACTCCCTGCTCCGCTCCGCTCAGCTCTAGTCCGGCTGCGGGAAGGAGGCAGGCATGTGTCCTGTCTTTCCCTTTTAGAAAGGCGGTCACCTGAGCTCCCTTGCTAACTATTCTCAGCAGGAGTCATTACTGGAAAGGGAGAGGGTCTAAATGGTCCTCATGGCCATTATTGCAGGGCAGCCTTGAGGCCAGTTAGCGGTATGGGCAAGCTTACACTAGAGAGAAACTGCAGGCTTTGCTTTATAGGGTTGCGTGTCTGACATAACTCGACAGCAAGGACCTTGCATAGCAGTTTACAACAAGTTAGGCTTGACCCCACTGTGGCTGAGGGAAATCTTTTCCTGGCCCTGTATAACATTATCTCGGTTTTATGGGGGACTTTGAAATGCTGCAGTGGCACGGTGCAAAGCGGAGAGCGCTGTGCACGCGTTTTCTCGGTGGCTCGATTTAAATTCCAATTTCTCCACAGGCTTCCTGTGTGATGTTGGGCAAGTCTCTTGCTCCCTCTGCACCTCAGTTTCCCCTCAATAGAACATGAGTGGTTTCTCTTTTTATCCAGCCTTTTATCAGTTTGTCTACTTAAATGGCAAGTTTTTTCAAAAGGAACAGTTCTCTGTTTGAACCAGCTAGGCTGCTGGAGACCTGATCTTAGGGTGTATTCCCCAAATGAGTAAGAAATTTTAGAAGCGCTTCCATATATGATCCCACTGTGTCCAAAAGAGGATGCTGGAGAGAGCCATGTGACAGAAAAATAGGTCAGGAAAGAATTTTTTTTAATGCTGTGTGGGGGTAGAGTTTGAACCCTTCCCTCCAGTGCAGTCATTAGCCAGCAGCTGGCAGACTTCACTAGGGGAAGAATAGTTAATCCCTTTCCCTTTCAGAGCTACT